AAAGTTAGGTCACTCTCCAGCCCAAGTGAAACGCAAAGAGAAACATAGCCCAATATACAAAATCTGCCATCAAAGAATTCGGCCCATCCCGTTTATTTCTCTCTCTATACTACATATTGGAGGTCTTGTAAACCCTAATTCCTAATTCAATATTCATCTTCTTCTTCTCCTTTTATTCTCAATATCTCCTAAGTAATACATAGATTGGATTCAATTATCCATCACTAATAATAGTATAATACTAATAATACCAAATATGCATCCGGGTCAAACATAACTTAGAAAATTATATGTAAGTAATACATAGATTGTAATCATATATATATTATTAACTAGTCACATATAGTACTGTGTGTTGCACGAGATATATACAATTTATAAATAAATAAATAATAAAATACGATAAGTGAAGCAATAATAATAAAAAATAACTTTATTAGTAGTAAAAATTATCAAACAAAATCAAATAAATTCATATTGTTAAAAATTCATGTGTGTGTGTTCTCTCATAGATAGTTACGATGCACATTTGTTCTCAGTGTATTTTATTTTTCCAAGAAAGAGTTGAAGAGTATATTTTGGTGTGAGGTACAACTCAAGGGTATATGATTATTTATCCTAGTGTGTGGATGTATATACATTAAATGTTTAAAATCAAATCATAGCAAATTAATAAGAAATATTAATACGGTGTACTTAAATGTACGGTATTCTTTTCCAGCCCACACCCCCTTCTTCGGATTCGTATATCATACAGCCGGTTGTACGGCTGGCACCGTACAACCAATGGCAGTTTTGTAATTTTCATGAAAATCACGGGTTCTCTTAATGAGCATTAATGTAATTTGAATGAGAATCAAGTCTGTTCTTTTTGAATATTAGGAACCTAACAATGAGCACTAGTGATCTTTGTTTCATATCTTCTAATCCAGTTTGTTTTTATTATTTTTTCGTTTATATAAAATTATTAAATGATGTTAATAATCAATTTCAATTAATTTCAAAATGTGAATCTAATGTAGTATGATATGTTTGATATGAGCAACATTTTAAAATGAGCATAAAGCACTACCAAATGAGCATACATAATCTGCAAAATGAGTATAAAAAAAATCAAAAGCTCATTTGTGTATGGGAGCCGAGAGCACCCTGTTAGTGAAGGAAGTCCTGGTCCTGACCTGGATGACGGGGTCACCTCGTCCCTCGTCCAATTCCCTCTCAAGGGCGCTGACCTTGTTCATGAGTGCATTGAGGCCGGGATCGTTGGAAGCACCGGCCGTGGGAATGTTCGCCGACTGCCTGGCCTCCATCTGGGCCAGTCTCCTTTCCAGCACGGACATGACTTCGTCCCGAGGGTCCCTGGCGGCCGCAGCGGCGCCCTGTTGGTTCTGCATGCGCACCTCGTGGGCCGCGTTGATCTGGTGGCGCACGTCGTCCTCGTGCAATTTTCCCTTGCCCTTGTTCAGGTGGGGCTGGTCCGTTGTCCGGGACACAGACCCCAGGCTTTCCCTTGGCGAGCCAGGCCGGCGCTCACCAATCCGTCCCGCCATCCTCTCCGAAACCGGACGACGGCGCGTGTCACCCAGCCTATTGAAGGCCTCGAGGCTTTTCCACGCGCTGGGGTCTGTCCGGGCCGAAGAGGGGAAGCAGGATGGGAGTGGGACGACGCCGTGTCCTGGGCTATCACCCCCTCATCGTTGCCTAGCTTGACGGCCAACGGTTGGGGCTGAGGAGGTGGAGTGATGTTCCCCCCGGTCCTTGGCATGAGTGCGCCGAGGACGGTGGGGTTCTGAGCCAAGCTGGCGATGATGACCGATAGTGCGGCCTGAACCTGCGGGTCAATAGATGGAGAAACCGTGGCCAAAGGTTGGGCTGGGGCGTTGCATGTCTTCTCTGCACGCTTCTTATCCAAGCTGATGCGGGCATCAGGGGCGCCACCGTTGAGCTGGTTGCGCAGGTCCGTCATGAGGTTGATGGCCTCCTGGAAGACGTCCCCTCCTCCGACCTGGTCGGCCGTGGCGTCCTCCTCGCGCTCCCTGGTCTCCTGGTCCTCAGGGATGGCCTTGCTGACGAGGTTGCGGTTTGACTTAGTTCTTCCCATGATCAGTGGTTAGCTGTGCTTGGTAGCGACGAAGGATGCTAACTTGATTGTTCTAGCTCTCAACGAGAGCACCAAATGGTAGAGTATATATCTAGAGAGAAGTGAGAGCTAGAGAGAGAAGTGCAAGTAAATGCTTCAATAAATGATTTTGTGAACCCCTATAACTACTCCCAGAGGTAGTATTTATAGGGAAAATATGGGCTGGGCTCCCAAGCCTTGGGCTTGGGAGGCCCATTTACAACTGGACCGCTATTGGGCCGAATACAATGTGTATAGAAATGATTAAGTGTAAGATCTAGTTTCTGGGGGCCGCTCGTGGCCGATGACGGCATGGCCGACGAGGGCATGGCCGACGAGGTCACCCGGTTCTCCTGGCTCCTGAACCGTATTCTGGGTAGACTGCTTTATGGCCGATGGAGGTCACCTGGCCGACGAGGGTCCCACCAGGTGACCGTGGTACCTTCTGTTCTTCCGAGTATGTGGGCCATGGGGTCCAGACTCATATACTCCATTAGTATGCTTATTGATTTTGAGCGTTATACTCATTTGAGTTTAAAATAAAACTCATTTTTAATGTGTTTAATATTCAGTTATGTATGTTCATTTCTTTTATGCGTATACTCATTTGAATTTAATATAAAACTCATTTTTAACATGCTTAATATTCAGTTGTGTATGTTCATTTCTTTTATGTGTATACTCATTTGAGTTTAATATAAAACTCATTTGAGATCAATAATAATAAGGATTACTTTGTCTTCTGTAGGCTCTCTTTCTCTTCCAAAATTACAATCTGAAAAAGAAAAACTGAATAAGAAAAAGAGAAAAAGGAAAGGAGAGAAAACACAGACAGATGGAGGAGAAGTAATTGCGCAGAGGGATCTGCTACATCTGTGCTAGAGGAGAAGGGGATGAGCGGTGAGAAGCGGCGACGAGCAACAAGCTGGAAGAGAAAGAAAAAGTAGTGAGCGTAGGCGACAATCAACCAGGGCAGATCGAAGAACCCAGCGAGATCGGAGATGATGAGAAGCTTGGTGCGAAGTTGGATCTTCTTCTTCTGGTGCGAAGCAAAGAAACACAGAGCTAAAAAGACCGACTGTACCGTGCGCACGGTACAGCCGGCTGTACGATGTATTTTACCACCTTCTTCTCTGTGCATTCTTCCCATCAGACCTTTTCCCCCTTTCGTCTTCCACCCCAATTTCCTTATACATCTGCTTCCTCTTCCTCTCTGGATTGAATCAACATTTTCTTATCAGGGTGTTGGAACGTTGGAATAGGGGACCAAAGGAAGAAGAAAGAGGGAGCTGAGGTTGTTTGCTTGTCGGGAAGAAGAAAGTAGAATGGACAAATTAAAGAAAGGAAAAGAAAATGTCAAAACACAAAAATATGCCACCTACACCGCCACGTCACTAAGGTGACCGGCTAAGAGCATCTCCAATGTTATAGTGTGCAGGGTGCACATGTGGCATGAAAAATAACCACATAAATATTAGCAAATAAATTATCTCTCCATATTTCAATGATTTTATACAATTATGGTAAGTTTTTCCTTGCAATGTCAACTGCAATGTCAACATCTAGACGTTCTCCTTGACATTGTGGAGAAAAACTTACCAAAACTGAATAAAACCATTCAAATAAAGAGATAAAGAATTTATTTACTAATATTTATGTGACTATCTATCATGTCACATGTGCACCGTGCACATTGTAGCATTGAAGATGCTCTAACCGAGAATCTATCGGCCAAATTAGCAATTTGATTTTTTTTTGGATAGTTCACGTACTTAATTGAGAGTTTCTTTAGTTCGAGGGATTAATTGAATTTTTTGGTATACTTTGAGGGCTGATTTTGAAAGTTATCTCTAAAATAAGTAGAGTTTGAAACTCCAATTTACCCAGTGCATCTGCGTTATTCCACCGGTATCCACTATTATAAGAGCCTTTTTTGGGACCCCGTTTTTAAGCTTATCATGCTTATCAACCAATTCTTTCATCAAACACGTAAATTTTGATTTCGCATGCTGAGTTGTGTAATAATAAGAAAAAGTAAGGTTACAATTACTTTTCTGACTTTATTGGCTGAAGTTACACTAGAAAATCATTGTAGCTATTAATTCATGTAATTTTTACTTTATTTTATGAATAAAGTTCCGAATCAAATTCACACTTTCCTTTTTGGGTAGGTCCAAAATAAACTTCACACTTCTTCTCCCTTCCTTATTTGGCAAATTAACTACATCAAAACAGTGCAAAACAGTGCCAAACAGTGCAGTATATATTTGTATGAAGTCAAACACTGAATTTGTTTTGGGACCGGAGGGAGTATATATTTTATTTTTCATAAATCAGCAGAATCAGTCAATCCAACCCTTCGACTGAACTTCTTTAATTTCAGAAAAATCAACCAATTCAGCAGATTTCAGTGTTATCAAGCGGGCTTTAAATTAAGTTTAAATGTTTTGTTACACTTTGACTTCACATGTAATAAGGAAATAATTTTACTGAGGGGTAAGTTTTACCGTAAAGTACACTGTATTAACACTGTTTGACACCGTTTTGCACTGTTTTGATATAGATCTATTTACCAAATAAGGAGGAGTGACTTTATTTTGGGACATCCAAAAAAGAAAAGTGTGAATTTAAGTTAGGGATTGAGGGAGTATAGTACACTTTGGTGTAAGATCCTTCTTATTTTTCTACAAAGTATTATTTTTCATCCCTTAATTTTTGTTGATTTTCTTTTGTAATTCATCACGGATGATAACAACCTCTATTTGGCAACAAAACAATCCAACCAATAGGTTTCCATTGATTCTAAATCATGTCATTCAAAAAGTATTTATTTTTTTAGAAGGTTTTCTTTTCTAATACATATTCTAAATATATGAATCATTAGTTTTACATTGTTTTTTTATGATACATTGTTAAGCCTCATGAAATTATAAAATGATAAAAGTTTCTAGTAGTATTATGTGTTGGGATCCCTCCTTAATTGGAGAGATTCTAGAAATTTCTAAAGCTTTCTAAAGAAGTATAGAATTTTCTAGAACGTTGCGGAGAATCCTAGAGAAGTCTAGAACTCTCTAGAAGCTTGCAGAATAGTGTGGAATCCTCTAGAATATTCCGGAGATGTGTGGAATCTTCCAGAATCTTATGGAAGAGTATGGAAGTATATGGAAGTGAACAAGATAGGAGTGTCACGCAACACAAAAAATGAAGACAGAAATGGACCTCCGGCAGTCACACCCACGCCGGAATCTTCATCACCCACTCAATGAAAACCCCTTTTACACTCACTGGGATTCCCCTCGATACGTAGATGAATTATGCTTCAGGGACTCTCCACCGGCCAAATACCGTCTCCCAAAGTGGAATCAGCGTCCCCAAATCAGGAAATATCATGACCGAAGACCCCAAAGAACCAGAACATATGCGTCTGGACCTGGGGACGGTGACTATTCTCGCTCTCAACAAGCGTACGCATATCCAGAGTCCTGGTACCCAGCACCGCCTCTGAGGGAACGACCGCAACGCTGTCAGATCTTCCCCGGACGCCGTCTGCTACATCAACCGGAACACGCCAAGCATCCATAACACTCTTGGCGCACAATTCACCGGAAGCGAAGGCCGTTGAACCCTCATCTTAGCCAGCGCACCTCAATCCATCAAAGGCCCTGTCCAGAAATCAAATGGTCAGTAAGAAATTCAAATCCATTTCTCTTATTACATATGGAAGACGACCCTTCATTCTCCCTCCTAAACTCACACGCACCTGACCATGATAAGAAACCCCCCCTCGATTTCAATTGTCGAATCCTTAGATCGGAAAGGGATGGCCAGTATCGCAGGTCTGAGAATCGAACACACCGTGGCATCCCAACCTCTATTGAGGTCGGTGATATTGAAAGCTCACCACCTTTCTGTCCGCTACCTTCCCCACTTTCGCCAGAAAGTAAGATGGGACGAATTTCTACTACCTCTATGCCTCACAGGTTGGACGTTATCCGCAGGGATCTAGAGTCCACCCTGGTAAGACTACCATCGGGGCGGAAAACTCTGGCTCTGAACCATCTTCGTCGACGCTCTCACCTGCACCGGGAGTCGTAGCCGGTAGTCGAGCAGCGAATAGGGCTCCAATGGTAGGGTCTCTGGTGATAGCTGCCAGCTACGGACACCAACCTCCGAGTCAACTCCAGACTAATATTTCCAAATCCTGCGCATGGGCTGGTAACAGCTGCAGAAAAAGAGCCAGAGCTGGGAGGCTTTTCTGGTAACCAACGATAGGCTGCCCTCCACCCTTCCACACGATCCGGCAGGGATTGGGATCCTCTGCCGATCCGGCAGACTTACTTCCGTGTGGCAAAGTTCCCTCCGAGGCCCCAGATGTCCCCCTAATCTCAGGCGCAGGAATCACCCCTAATGCTGATAATGTCATTTTAATTAATGATACAACCACACCGACTGATATTTTCCGGTCAAATTCAGTGCCCATTTCAAAGGTGTCTGATAAATTCCACTTCTATGGAGAAGAAGGATTTGACACGATCAAAATCAAATCTACATTGTTTAAGTTTGGAATCAGAAAAAAAGAAATTGCAATTTTTGAGATCAAGAAATCTCTGATGCACAATATTAGTTTCAATCTAGACTTGGCTCCTGAAATCATCGGCTATATTACTCAGCTCACAGAAATGGATCTTCTCTATCAGCAGCTAAGGACATTTGGGCCTATTTCGGTCGCTTCAATTTGCAATGCAGGCAATTTTTTAAAAATAGCTAAGGAAAAGGGGAGCTCTATCCTTATTCCCATGGGGCGGAATAAATCAAGCCTGATTGAATTTTTAAATATTTTCTCTAACTTTGTGAGATTTCATGATTTAGCACTGGAGGACCCCTCTTTTTTGACAGGAACAATGAACACACAGAGAACTTCACATCCATCTCCAAAGCATTCTTTGACTTGGATATTTTGACAACTTAGCCATCAAACCGCACATCACATCTGGAAACGAGGACCCCTCTTTTTTGACAGGAACAACGAACACACGGAGAACTTCACATCTATCTTCAAAGCATGCTTTGACTTGGATATTTTGACAACTTGTGCCATCAAACCGCACATCACATCTGGAAACGAGGACCCTGTGGCTCTCCCAGCCCATAACAACCCTCACGAAATGAACATGGATGACTCCGCCTCATACATGGAGTATCCTTCACAACCTAGGGAATCAGATATCCCAAATGATGACTCTGAAACCCCTTCAAGATCAATGCCATCAGAACAAGAATTACTGGATCGGCTGAATGAGACCACAAGTGCTACAGTTTGGAAGAGGAGATACACTCGCAGTAGAGCTAAAGCTGCGCACACACTGCACTAATTTGTTTGGTTCTTTTGTGTCGCATCTGTTTTCTTTTCTTTCTTTTTCTTTTGTTTCCTTTCCTTCTCGTGCATTGTTTTGACTTTCCTCACATTGTACTTTCATTCTCAATTTTCATAAAAGTTTTTTTTTTAAAAAATGGAAGCATATGTAAGGGAATGAAGAGATGTAGAGATTCCTTAGAGTTCTCTAGAAAATGTAGGCATTTGTAGAGCATTCTAGAGAACTACTCTCCACTATTCATTATGGAGGTGGGGTAGTATAAATAGGAGTAGGAGCCTCCATTTCCTAACAATCATAGCAAGAGTGAATCCACTTCTTAGAGTGAGAAAGTTAGAGAGCATCTTTGAGAGAGAAAATAGATAGCTTGAGAATATATCATCCTCAAGCTTGAGTGAGCCACCATTGAGTGAGACAATTTTGTAACATTCTAGTAAATCCTACTATTCTTTTTTGGGGGGGGGGGGGGGGGGGGGGGGGGGATGTTAATATGTATAGTCCAAAAAATAGTTCTGTACATCGTGTGGGACAAAAATGTAGACTATCCCAAGTAGGGATGCCCTATCACCACCAAAAAGAGCAACATCCAAAGCTCTATGAAGCCCATAGCAAAAACCTAGGTGACGAGAGTATCAAAAAATAATCATGTGATGAGGATACATGGAATTAGGGATGGATTCGGTTCGGGCCACCCGGCCCGTGACCCGGCCCGGCCCGGTACTGTGTGGGCCCGGGACCGGCCCGGTCGGGCGGTCCGGGACCGGGTATGGGCCCGAACCGGTGGGAAGGGGCGGGGCGGGCTCGGTTCAGCATTTTTGTGACCCGGCCCGGCCGGGTCGGGCCCGGGTCCGGTTCAATTTTTTAATTTTTTTTTTTTGGTTTGGGCTCCTACTAGCCGTTGGGGGTGGGGCTGGGGACAACCCAAACGGCTATATAGCCGTTGGGTGGGGTAAAGGGGGGGTCCGGGGGGGTTGGGTGGTGGGGGGGTGGTGGGGGGGGGGGGGGTAAAAAAACCTATAAATACTCCTAATCTTAAATATTTTTTCATCTCTTCTCCAATTCTTCCTAAATCCTATTCTTAACTCTCTACTCTCTAATTCTCTTATTCTCCATTCTCCAATATATTATATTTATTATTTATAGTTTATATTAAGAGAGATTTCCCTAAATGGGAGTAAAACAACGGGAAAATGCAAAACTAGGACTTGTTTGATAGAAAGAGGTGAGAGATATGTGGCTTTTCCAAAAGATTTGTCTATTCGTTGGAATAGTACCTATAAGTTAATTGGAGTTCTTGTTAGATATAAACAACATTTTCCTGCTTTTATGAAACAATATGATAACTATATTATAAACTCGGCTGAGATCGACACCTGTGAAAAAATTTGTAATGCTTTGATATATTTTAATAATGCAACTGAAACTTTTAGTCATGTTTATAAACCTACCTCAAACCAATTTATTCGTGAAGCTGTTAATCTCGCCGGTGCTTTTTCAAATTTTGAGAATGCTGATTATGTGAGTTATTTTGCTGGTTTTATGAAGGAAAAGTTTTTAAAATATTATTCACATATTCCGCATATTTATGGTATTGCATTTGTTCTCGATCCTCGTTTTAGACTTGGTTCTTTAGAAGAATGTTTGAATTATTATTATGCTGCTTTTTTTGGTCCATTGCCAATGTATGAGGACAACCCAATTGATCCGAAAAAAGAATACAACGAGGTTAATGATATATTTTATGCATTATTCAATGAGTTTCATGCACAATATGGCAATGCGCCCCCTCCCCCGACACAAACATCATCTAAAGGAAAATCAATTTTCAAATCTACGTTTGCCAATCTTATTAAAAAAACAAAATCAACTCCCGCTACACAACAAAGCTAACCATGATTTTGACGTACTAAACTGGTGGAAGGGAAAAGAAAGAATGTTCCTGGTTTTAGCAAAGATGGCTAAGCACGTGCTATCAATGCCGGTTTCAACGGTTGCCGTGGAACAAGAATTTAGTTCGGCCGGCAATGTTCTAACACAAACCAGAACGAGGTTGAGCGCTGAATCTCTTGAGATGCTTATATGCTACCACGATTGGTTGAAAGCAGCACGTAGAGCTCAAGAAATTGACATCACTCCATCCCAACACTTTATGGATGAATCTACGGAGGGTGGCTCTACTTATGCCGCAGATTCCGATTAAAAACAATTATAGTTCCTATTTAATTTTCAAATGTAGTTCCTATTTCATTTCAAATAAATGCACTTGAAGTTTGTTTTTTAATACTTGTATAAAACTATAAAGTATAAAATATAAATTAAAAAAAAAAAATTTAACCGGCTCGGCCCGGCCCGGCGGGTGGCCCGACCCGTGACCCGGGCGGGTGGCCCGGCCCGAACCGGACCCGTCCAACCCTTGGGCCGGTCCCAGGCCCAGGCCCACTATTCTAGAACCGGTGGCCCGACCGGGCCTAGGCCCGGCCCGGGCCCGACCCGGCCCGAATCCATCCCTACATGGAATATAACACTTTATACACCATAAACTTAATGTGACCGATCATATCTTCCACATTGCATGTAGCTCCATCAAAACGTAATGAGTTCCATATCCTCCATATCCAATATATCGGAAGAACCTCCATATTGGAGAATTTAAACCGTGTGCTCCCATTACTACCTTAATTCCTAAGTACCTATCTTAACTTCACGAAGCGGGAAAAGTTCGGAGTTTTTCCCAACAGTGGTATCAGAGCTAGGTTCATATGAGGTCGTCACTAGCTCGTGCAGTTCAAGATGGAGGATAACATCGCTCATAATTGAGACATGTTCAAGCTCACCGCCAATAACTACTCATAATAGAAACCGATGATGGAGGATCATCTATACTGCAAGGATTTGCATGAGCCCATCATCTACAAAGAGAATGTAGAATGCAAAAGTGATGCTCAGTGGGAGCTACTGAATCAGAAGGCCGTTGCTATGATCCGTAAGTACATCGACAAATCTCTCTTCGAGCATGTTTCTACTTACACAAATGCTTATGAATTATGGACAAAGCTTGAATCCATGATTCAAAAGAAAACACCTCGTAATAAGGCCAATTTAGTTCGACGGTCGGTAAAGTTGGAGTATAAGGATGATCATAGTATGATTGAACTCTTGAAAAATTTCAAGGGGATCGTAAATCAATTAACCAAAATTGAGATGAAGATTGATGACAAGTTACAAGCCCTTGTACTCCTTAGTTCCTTGTCGAAAATTTGGGACACACTCGTGGTTACGCTTAGTAACTCAGCTCCGGAAGGAAAGCTAACCATGGACACCTTCAGTGATAGTCTTCTTGGTGAAGAAGCAAGGAGAATGGAACGAGGTGAGTCTATCTATCCCGAGACTAATGTTATTGAGAACCGGGGTAGGAATGAAACTCGTGGACGGAGTAAGAGCCGAGATCCGCAACAATCTTGAGGTAGGTCAAAATCGCGCTCGAAGATCACATGTTACTACTGTAGAAGAATGGGCCATAGAAAAATGGACTGTCGGTCCTTCAAGAGAGACCAGAAGACCGGTAATGTCAAACTAGACCAAATCAACCCAATGAAGAAGCAAGAAGATAAGAGTACCACTGCCGTAGTCTCAAAAGAAGACCTGTTATATCTCGTTGGAGAAGGTAATATCCTAAACATTGCTTATGACGATAGTTCTTGGATCATCGATTCTGGTGCTTCCTTCCATGTCACTCCCAATGAAAGTTTCTTCTCATCCTACCAAAGTGGTGACTTTGGTACGGTTCAAATGGGAAACCAAGATAGAAGCAAGATCGTTGGGATAGGAGACATCGTCCTGACATCTAGCACCGGATGGAAGCTAGTTCTCAAAGATATGAGGCATGTCCCGACCATGCGCCTCAATCTTATCTCCGCTGGAAAGTTAGATGATGCTGGTCTGATGAACTACTTTGGTGAAGGAAAATGGAAGCTCACCAAAGGAAGTCTGGTCATGGCTCTAGGGAAGAAGGAAGGATCGTTGCATGAGATGCAAGCTAAGCTATGTAAAGGAGACATATATATAACCACTGATGACATGGGGGTATGGCATAAACGACTTGGCTACATCAGCGAAAAGGGTCTCCACATACTTGCTCGGAAGCAACTCCTCCCGGAAGTGAAAGGTAAGTCACTTAATCCTTGTGCACACTGTTTAGCGGGAAAACAACACAACGTTGCTTTCCAAAGATCTTCTCTGCCTATTAGGAGAAAAAATATTCTCGACCTTGTACACATCGATGTGTGCTCAATGTCTGAGAGATCTATTGGTAGTGCACTGTACTTTGTGACCTTCATTGATGATCATTCAAAGAAGATATGGTTGCACCTGCTAAAATCAAAGGATCAAGTACTTGACGCCTTCAAGGAATTCCACGCTCTAGTAGAACATGAGACTAGATGAAATATCAAGTGTGTGACACTCCGAAAAATAAATAATTTTATTAGTCAGATAAAATGTTACGAAAGTGATTTTTTTAATAATCAATTGAATCAGATAAAATTTAACATTGGTGACATTTTTAGTCAGATAAAAATGTTACAATAATAAAAATGACATTTTTGTATTAATTATGTTGACCAGATAGGACCTTGACTTAAATAAAAAAAGTGACATTTTTGTCACAAGTGATAAATATCCGTATGGTATAAAAAATAAAAGTGACACTTTACCAATTTTAATTCAAAGATATTAGTTGATAATATTTGTATATAAATAACAAAGTTGACTTTTTAAACCTAACAATAATGATATGTACATTATTATATATACTCGCTCCGTACAACATAAAACTAGATACGATTGGAAATATAATTAATTTATCTCTACATAAGCTAATGGGACCTTCCTATTAGGTGAATGCCATGTGACACACATGACATACCTCATGCATATGCATGCACCACATGTCATTGTTAATGTAACACTTGAGATTTAATTTAAATGGATTGATAGTACTACTCATACCAACAAGATGCATCTCCTTCTAAGGGAGCTCATTAGTCAAGAACTCTAAAGTTAAGCGTGCTTCCACGGGAGTAGTCTTGAGATGGGTGACCCCCTGAGAAGTTTCTTAGGGCGCGCACGAGTGAGAATAAA